GTCAAGCATAACTACTGGACCCGAAAAACAAGGTTATATTTGCTAACTTGGAACTGAACAAAGCTTGTGATAAACTTCTATACTACGGTTTTTCTCAGGAAGCTTGTGGGCTTATTCGTAACTATTTATCGGAACGATGCCAGTCGGTAGTAGCAGGTTCATTAAAGTCAGATGCCCGAATAATGAATTACGGAGTGCCACAAGGATCAATCTTGGGACCTATTCTTTTTTCCATCTATATCTCGGATTTTCATGAGTGTCTGAAGTTTTGTACTATCCACCACTATGCCGATGATACTCAATTATACCTAGACTTTACGAGCAATTCAATCCTTTCAGCAATTTCTCAAATTGAAGAAGACTTAACATCTTCATACAATATCTCAACCGCACATAATCTCACACTCAACCCTTCGAAATCAGTAGCTATGCTTCTCGGAACGAAATCAAAACCTGAACAGCTAACACAAAATTTTCAAATCAGGTTAGCAGGTATGCCGTTAACCTTTGTAAGTGAAATCAAAAACCTAGGTATTTGGTTTGATGTTGACCTAAGATTTACCAAGCACGTCAGCTATCTCTGTTAGAGCTCGTTCAATATTCTGAGACAGCTGTATCCTAGTCGTAATTTGCTATCTACTAAAATGAAACTTGAGTTGTGCGAATCGCTGGTGATATCTGAATTATCATATTGCGACAGTATTCATGATCCAGCACTTCTACAGGGTGATGCAGCTAGACTACGAAAAATTCAAAATTCCTGTTTACGTTTTTCTCATGGAATACGTAAATTTGCACATATTAGTATGAAATTTAAAGAAACAGGATGGTTCAAATTAGATAACTGTCGAAAACTCCATTTACTTACCTTGACACACAAAGTTATAACGTCTGGCAAACCTACGTAAAATGAGTATTTTTGATTTCATATACGCTAATACTCAAATTTTATTTTTATATTTTTCTATGATTCACTTATATTTTTATAGTCTTCTATGATTCACCTATATTTTTCTTTTTTTTTTCGCTAGGTCAGGTTGAAAAGCAGCCCATCTTTTAATTGACCCTTAATTATTGTTCTAAATTTTTGTTTTTCATTGTTTATATTATGTCGATGAATAAAGACGATTATTATTATTATTAATGCCTCTGGGGGCCAGGTAGATTACGACCCCGTAGTCGAGTCATCTACCTTCAGTTTGGATCAGTTCTTGGAAAATGACTCCAAAGTAGCAGCCTTAACTTCGAATAGATGGAAACTACAGACGCGGTTCAACACAGACTACAGTACACCAAATTGCTGACTTCGGAAACCTATCCGACTATTGTCAGATCTACAGGATACATCTTCTAGTCCTCATGTCAGGTACCAAATTGATGCAGTTTTCACAGTTTTCAGACAATTCCATAAAAATTTAATTTTTGTTAAGGTCGCATGAATATAATCAAAAATAAAAAATATGTCGTTTTATACGATGATTCACTTGATACGAGTAGAGAGTTGGAACAAAGTAGGTAAATGACAAAACATATGATTTTACAAAACAAGTGAACAATTCAGGCGTATTGGAGAATATATAAGCATGAATAATTTTCAATTTTATCAACAGGGTTCAGCCAGAACTTGTTGAGAAACGGATCTATTCATGGATAGTTGGCTTGTTCACTTACAGCGAATCTGCAAATTTCATATCTCAATAGTCAGTTATTCACGTAATACCATTAGTCACGTGACAGTACTGAACATCTTTCACACTATTCATCAAACAACACAATTTCAGTAAAATAATTACCCAAAGGAGGTATAAAACCCAACTGAATATTCAAGTTGGAATATTCAGTTGAGGTCCAAGTTGGAAACATAAAAAACTGCACTCAGAAGTTCGTTAGGTTGAGGAGTCTCAAGTAAGGATGGAATTTGTCACCACCGTTATTGCTTTTCGTTGGTTGTATCAAATATCGATGCCACTCCCAAGATACTCCACAATCCATCCCAGGTCAATATAGGCATCGAAATTCTAATTGCTATTCGAATATCCCACTCTCAACCCTTCTCCTCTATCTCAAATTGGGGTCGCCTTGCATCTTTTTATCCAAATATCCCTTTCAATCATCCCTTCGTCAGTATCCGGGTAATTTCCTGTTCCCACTGAGGAGAGAGGTCTGTAATAGAATATGCCTAGAGATCTACCAGAAACTTTGTCCGAAACGATCAAAACTCTCCGACATCTATTTGTTATTCGATTGATACATGGTTCGTCACTTCCTGAAACTGATATATGGTTTCATATATTGGCGTGATCTGTTACGACTAACATTTCGTCAGAGGTTATGAATTTCACGTATCGAAGCAGAAGGCATTAGAGGTGGATGACCAGTAGATCAACCAACGGAGTGACATGAGAGCTCATCAACATCAAGAAACTCGTGTAGTGAACATCGTGAGTTATTTGTTGTCTTTTGAGATTCATGCAAGCAGAAGCAACGGCGAAGCAATGATTGAAGAAAACATTCTGAACTACAAATAAAGAGAGCTCATCACAATTTTGGAATTTTTGACACGTGATGAGCTGTACTGATTTGCCAATTCGGCGCAAATTCATAATCAATTTCCATATGAAGGGGAAACGAGTCCATACGCTTAGGGGAACTCATGAAAATATCATTCCAGATATCGACTATCAGGGTAGCAGTGAGTCTTTGCTAGATGACATCCGTAAACTTGGATTTCTATGGAAAAAGGCGAAAAATAACAGCCATTCCACTACTGGGGTTTTAATTCTTGAAGAAAATTCTGACCTGTTGAAAAGAATGTCAACCTATTATTTATGAGGACGAAACATATTCACGATATACACAAACACCAAAAAGGATCTGGAAAAACCTGTCAGTAAAGGGCAAAGTCTGCTCAAAATACATGCGGGCGGAAAAAATGGGTTTTCGCCCAATGCCTACATCAGATGGAAAATAAATTATGAATAGTTGGCTTGTTTGATTACAGTGAATCTGCACAGGACTATGACGTGTTAAATTTTGTAAGAAAAAGCTTTGAAACTGATTGCTATTGTTGCTGAGCTTTCAGCTATAACTTTCGTCTTCGCAATCAATACATTGACTACTGATGATGTCTGCCATACGAGTAGTAGCAGACGAAACGTTCACTAATTCAGGTTTCATACCATCACGGTGTACTACCCCGTATTTTGTTGTCTTTGATTGAATAGTAGGGAGTTCGTTTTTCGTAACAATTTTCATTGTACAGTCGTTATTTTCTGCAGATGAGCGGAGCATGTAAATGGAAAAGGAACTTTGAAATGGATGGATTACACTGGACATATTTTTACACAATTCATTGTTGCCTTGAATCCCTGCAACATTCAGGCTCGCTCGAGCTTAATCCTTGAAAGGATCATTCCTGTGTCTGCATCATTCCATTTACATTCAGCCTTGAATATGAATGGAATGGAAATTGGATTTCGTGCAACGAAAATATCCAAACGTCTCATGCAAACTAGCGTTACCTTTGTATCTACTGGATTCATTATTGAATATACAAAGGCATATTATTTTAAAAATGTAACTTCAAAATCATGGTGTCATGCTGTGGAATATCTATATCTACAGGTAGAAATTTGTTATATTTGAATATAATGTTCATGTCGGTCGGTAGCCGGTTGGTTCGACGTGGGTGCTTTGTTCACTCACTCAAATCGACCGCCGTGCTGGTCGGTGCTTCAAGCCCCAGACTTCATTCTTATGTGCATACGTAAAAGAAGCAAAAGCAATGAGGAAAAATACAGCAGCAAGAAATCCAGAGAAACAATCATTTTCTAAAGTATATTCGATCAATAAAGTCGTAGTCTGTAGAGAAATGTTCATCAAAACGTTGGGGATTTCTACGAAGCGTGTTAATACTGCCCTGCGTAAAGTAAGAACATTAGAAACACTTGATCGACGAGGTATATCTGGAGGTCACAACAAAATGTCAATGTATCAAAAAATGCCGTTATTAGTAATATCAGTAAGTTTCCTAGATATATATCTCATTACTGCAGGGAAAAAAAAAACAAACAAGAGTTTTTGGCTGCAGGAACAATACTTACACAAATGTATAGATATTATAAAAATGAAAATACGGACACAGTGAGCTTTGCTTCGTATAATTTTTTCAAGCGAATTCAATTTAAAATTGAAGAAACCAAAAAAAGATACTTGTAACAAGTGCGACGCAAATGACGTCAAAATTAAGAATTTACCCGATGGAGATGAGGAAGAGATAGCTAGTTTAGAGCATCTAGAAGAAGCAGAACAAGCTGGGATGGACATTGACCTCAAAAAGGCAAGTGATCCTCTTTTGAATACCTACAATATTATTTCCAATAATCACCAGACTACTTTTTTCTGATTTTACTTCAAATTTATGTTCTTGTCAGTTGATTCCTTATTGCATAACAGGGTCCAATTATGTATTAATCAACAATTATCAAACTGTATGGGGCGCGTATTAGACCGGAACTACCGATTGACCTTGAATGATGTTCTAACCGCGCGTTCTGCGCCCCCTATTTCGAAAACGACTCGATGTATAAAAAAATGTGTTCAAACAAAAGTTGTAGGGTATTCGATTTCCTACAGTATTGATGATAAATGCAAATAGCAAAAAACCCATAGGAAACGAGATATTTGCAACAAATATGCAAAATTCAATTTTCGTGACCTTCAACCTTAGTTTTTATAGTCCCGTACATCCTAGTAGGTATAGATTCTGAGAAAGCTTTCAGGATATCAAAATACTAGTTCATTATAGTTGACACCAGTTTATAGCTGGTTTATACCTATCTTATTTTGACTAAGATGACTGGACCATATACCGATGTTATCCAACTTCTTGTAACTGAAACTCATCAAATAATTCCGACAGAGTTACGACAGATCCGTCTGCAGTCGAGTCACCTCAATCCCAAAATTTCATCACGTATAATGCCGAAGTTGTGACTTACCGATGACGGTGAGATTCACCCTGCTGTTCTTAGTCTGCGCTATCTTGAAGTCGACTCGACATCTATAAACGCCCTGGTCGGAATCCCTGATATGATCCACCCCTAATTCGGCGGGCTGCTTTTCTGGCATGAAGTAGGCTCTGTTGGCGAACATATTTTCGTCCGACCATCGCTCTGCCTGGCTGAAATCCCTCTCCCGGCCATCGACACTGGAAAAAATCAAGTACCGATGAATGAAAGAGGCTCGATTTTGATTAACATCGCGTTATTGGAGTGGCGGAGTTGATAGAAGGCTGAAATTACTTCGCGCTACATCATGTTTACAAACAAAAAGTAATCTGGATCAAAAGCCACAGGAGGATGTATGTGTAAACAAAGCGAAACGGTGTTTGTATGTGAAAAATAAGCTTTTGCAATTTTGTAAAATCAGATGAATTCAGTTTGGCTTCTTTGGCAGATCATCTGAAAAAAGTCATTCTTATACAGGGTGTAACTGAATAAGTGTAAAACATTCAAGGAGGTGATTCCTCATCGAAAAAAAATAGGATCTTTCATATAAAGAAACATCATTGGAGCATCCCTTGTTAAGATACAGCCCCTTAAAAGAGGTACACAAAATTTGTATAACAATTTTTTTAACAAGCACTGAAAAAGTTACAATATTGAAATCAACCTGACGTTTTGTACTACCAAAAAGACACTTAGCCAGAAATTTATTTGGTTTACCCCATGGTTGTAAGGGGTGGAAAACGCAACCCCTAAAATTTATTTCCAATGTAACTTTTTGTCTTATTATTTGTTTACCATTTAAAAATGTATTTCCGATAGCCTGTTTCATTCTAAACAAAAAATATCTCTGGGGTTTTTTGCCCAAAATAAACCAGTTCGCAGCAAAAAATTATTTAACGAACAACTACAGAGATACATCGTCATAAATGCGAACTGGATTTATTGTTATTTTGTAGTTAGTACCTGCATTAAACGATTAAAGGGTAATAAACAAAACTAATTTATTAATAACAAAACACACAACATGTAGAAATCATAGTAAATGTTCAATATGTCTACCTTCAGACATTACGCATGCGTCTAGACGTCGGCGCATTTGAGCCACGTATTCGCTCAAATATTCCTGGAGTCTCTCTGATTACCCTGCACGCATCGATGATGCGGTTTCTCAAGTCCTCTACATCGCGAACAGGAGTACTAAAAACCAAATGCTGTAAATGGCCCCAAATAGAGAAATTGAGAGGATTGAAATCTGGAGATCGAGCGGGCCAGTTCTGGGGTCCTTCTCGACGTATCCATTGAGTTGCATATGTTTCAGTTGAATGCTGACGTGCTACTTGACCAAAATGTGCGGGAGACCCATCATGCATGAAAAACCCAAAGGCGCCCAAAGGAACTTCCTCCAGCAGTACTGGATGCACTTCTCTTAAAAATTGAACGTATGCCTCAATATTTAATCGAGGAGGTAGAAAATGAGGCATTTTTGTTCAATTGTTTTTTTTTACCTGTTTTTTATTTCACTGTGATTTTATTTCAAGGGTTTTTTGCTGAATGTAATTGTTTCTGACAGCTATTCTTATTAATTCTTTATTAGTATTGGTTTTTTAGGAGTTTCAAATCTTTTTATATATTGCATTTCATCTGTTCGGACTTCCATTATCTAATATGATATAAACTGATTTGAAATCTCTGAAAGAATCTATGATAAATTAAAAAGATTAGCTGGAAATCAACAATTGTATTAAGCAAAAAAATCAAATAAAGCAACATGCAAAAATTCAAAATCATTAACCAGGAATGCAAAATAATAATTAAGCCAAGTTACTTCACGACGTTTCTATTGTTAGTATCCACAATCGTCGTCGGCTGATAACTGTTATCACCCTGTTTGTTTGACTCACCATAGGACTCATCAGTGGTACCAGGATGAACCACTATTCCATCACTTTACTCAACTGTCCTCAGAACAACTAAGTGCCTTTCAATGAAAGCTGCGGTGAAAGACAGAAGACAAAAGTTTTTGGGAAGGAAAGAATTTTGATTTTCTACTTCTCCATCTCGAAAACTTTTATATACAAACTGAAAAAAAGCACTGCTTTCATACAAATATTGAATTACACGGGAGAAATAGTACTTTCATATTCAGAGTGTAATATTCATAGGAACGCTTCACAACGAAAGAGTTGGGATATAAAATTTCACTGACATGAAAAAATATCATACTTTGAAGTTCCGAAATAAGACACCTGTCTTATCACCCTATTTACAACGTTCTGCATAACATAACGAGATCTGCGCAACCTCTGCTGCAGGCAACAAGCGATGCAATTGAACCCAGGTTTGTGTTTAATATACCCTACAAAATACAAATCAAGCAGAACATAGGGTCATATGATACAAATGCAATACGGATTCATACAGACGGCTTAAAAACCAAAGAAGGCTCAGGGTGTGGAGTGTACTGCAGATCACTAAGCCTAAGAATTAACAGGGGAATGGGAAGAAATACCAGCGTGGTCCAAACAGAACTGGCTGGTATCTCAATCGCCACAAAAGGAATAACCAAATAAGGAATTCCTGGCAAAAACATATCAATCTGTACTGACAGCAAACAAGCCCTATTAGCCTTGAACAGACAACGTATAACCTCAGGGCTAGTACTAGAGTGTCACCAAGATTTAGCCAAAGCCTCGGTAGATAATAACACTATCCTGAGGTGGGCTAAAGGGCATAACAGGAGTAAAGGTAATTGCATTGCCGACTCTTCAGCCAAGGAAGCGGCTGGACTAAGAATTTTAGGATCCAGTGGCACCAACGGCCTGATGACTTCCACAATTGCGGAACTATTCAAATGTTACACCCATGCTCAATCCTTAAAGAGATGGGATGGAATCAAAGGATGTGATCGTGTCAGGATCACCTTCAGCGATCCTGGGAAGCTGGCGCCGAAGAAATATCTGGCGATGACCAGAAAAAATCTACACCTAATAGTAGGATTTCTGACTGGCCATTGTCAACTAAGGAAACACCACCATAATATGGGGCTAGTGGACACACCTCTATACAGGATGTGTGAACAGGAAGACGAGACTGTCAGGCATGTCCTGTGCTAGTGCCCGGAGTTATCGTCAATAGGAGAGTGTGTGTTCGGCGAGTCTTGGCCTACACCTGCCGATATAAAGGAGATGTCTTTCAGTGAACTGTTCACCTTCGTGGATAGGACAGTATGGACGAAGACCTAGGAGGACAACTCCTCGGGAGGATGTACAATGGGTAACATGTGGCCTTAGTGCTATGGCCTGACATTCACCCTCCCTACTCTACAGATACAGAGAACATAACGAGATGAAGGACAGGTCGTCTTTTTCAGCTGAACTCACTATTGCTATCGCGGAAACGGTAAGACCTAGTAGTATGTTTTTCATTTTGGGAAATAAGGATAGTTTCTTTTCAGATCGAGAATATTAGTGGTGGCTTTTGAAATTTCCGCCAAAATCTAGAATTGTCGAATTTCGTTTTTTGGCTCTACCTCCTCCATTTGAAATAATATAAAAAAAGGCACGAGAATTTTCAACACTGTTTCATATTTGTTAGAAAATGATGATAACTAATATGAACTACAAAGTTTCGTTCAATATATTTCATCATCAACCTCATTTTTTCAAATACGGATCTACAGATTTTTCATCTATTTTCCAATACATCCTGTGTCTCCCAGAAACATATTCAATATTTGTGTTCTCTCATGAAGACAGGAGGCAATATCTCAAATCACAGAGATAATCCACACAGGTATTGTGGATACAAAACTCTATGAAAAAATTAGAGGTCCATATTTAAAACATTATGTTTTCGATATATTCTTATGAACGAAACGTTGCATTATCAATTGATTTGTAACAAATTTAAAAAAATATGGTATCTAAACTTTTTCCCGTTTTTTTGAAGGTAATTGACAATGTTTCATGATGAATTACATTACTTNGTTTCATGATGGATTTCATTAGTTCGGACTTCCATTGTCTGATAATATATAAAATGCTTTGAAATCCATGAAAGAACTGAAAAAGAATTGAAAAATCAAAGAAGAAAATTGTGAACGAATAGTTGGAGATCACAATTATATTAGGCAGAAAAAAAAATGGTCAACTCCCGCCAAACGGTCATCTCCCGCCAAACCAGTGAAGCGGAAAAAGAAAAGCAGAGATCACAGTGAAAAGTATTTCTTTCAAAGATCACAGATTGTTCTGAACATTTTATCTCTATTGGAGAAACTATTACTCTATGCCAACAGCGCCATGTTCCACAAGAGAATCACACTTTTTTCAACGAATAAAACAAATTTCTTGGACTTTCAACGACATCATTCGTTTGATTATATTATTGCGAAGACGAACTACTTTGAATCAAGGAAATATAATATCATCTCAAAATCTACCACCTGTTTGAAGAGAAAAATAAACTATTCAAACTATTCAAATCTTCTTCTTCAATTTTTTTATTCTTTTCCAGTTCTTTCAGGAATTTTAAATCATTTTATATAATATCAGACAATGGTCTGAATTAATGTAATTTTCAAACTTTTTCTACTACTTGAAATAGAGGTGACAAACGAAACGAAATTCGACAAATATTGTTTCAATAAACATCTCAAAACGTACCGTTTTTGAGATAGTAACAGTGGGATCAGCTATACTTATATGTATACTATATCTGAACACCATGAAGCTGGGAGGTTCTATTATTTTCCATTGTGCTCTCTATGAAACTTGTTTCCAAATCGATATAAATTCCACCAACACCAACTCTAACTGATTGATTTTATATTTGAAATACCAACAATGGTAGATTCGCACTCAATTAATCGAATTTGATATTACATATTTTTATCTATGCATATTTGTTCATGCATCATTTTACAAATTCACAAACTAACGGAAACAATTCTATTGAAATGATTTTCCAATACAAAATAAACAAGATAATGAATTCAATACAAATTCACCAGTCATTCGGAAAGTAAAACTAACTAACTAACTATTGATGTGTTTTGCATCTGCAAAATATAATAGAATTCCAAATCAGATCGCATTTAAAAATTGTTGAATACCGCTGTTTTTGAATAATTAACTTATATCAAAATAGATATTGGAAAACTTTCCATGAAAAATAACATCGGAGGACAATTCAAGTGTAACGG